AGGTCTCTCTCTCTTTTTTTTTCTTTATAGCTTAATCATATTATTATTTTCTCATTTATTTGGGAGTTCATTTAGTTTATCTTCGGTTTTGTTTGTTTGGCATTGTATGTAGTGGATAAACACAGGTCAGATTCCTTGCTTTGAAGATGGAGGGCATCACCGTCCAAACCATCATGCTGAGATCTCCAGGCTTATATTCCGTGAGCTGGAGAACATTTGCAGCAAGAAAGATGCTACTGCAGAGGTGATACATCTGCTTTCACAGCCTCCCCTCTCAAAAATCTGTAGCTGTTGATGACTTACTTGTAGCTTCTCTTAAGTTGGATATGTTTTTTTATTTGGTAGGAAGTGCTTGTTGCTCGGAAAATCCATCCATGTTTGCCTTCTTTCAAAGCAGAGTTTACTGCATCTGTGCCTCTAACTAGAATTAGAGACATAGCACATCGCAATGATATTCCTCATGATCTCAAGGTAAATAATATTAATCTCTTTAGCTGTTTGGTCATTAGCTCAATTTACTGTCATAGTATTGATATTACCCATCTTTGTACCAGCAAGAAATCAAGCATACCATACAAAACAAGCTTCACCGGAATGCGGGTCCAGAAGATCTAATTGCAACAGAAGCAATGCTTGAGAGAATCACTGAGACCCCAGGAAAATACAGTGGAGACTTTGTGGAGCAGTTCAGAATATTCCATAATGAGCTTAAGGATTTCTTTAATGCTGGAAGGTAAAGGCAAACCTATTCATTTGTCATACTATACAATGCTCCCGCTTACTGTATAATTATATAACACTTGTATCTTGTTCCAGCCTCACCGAACAACTTGAATCTATGAAGATTTCTATGGATGAGAGAGGTCTTTCTGCTCTCAAATTGTTTTTTGAGTGTAAAGAGGTAAGCTCTTACTTTACCTTTTGAGTGTAAAGAGGTAATCATGTCAAAGTTTGTTACTGTAGTCTCGTCATGAGTCTCATTGTGATTGTTTTACATTTACAGCGCCTTGATGCATCTGGAGAGTCAAACAATGTTTTGGAGTTGATTAAAACTATGCGCTCTCTTGCTTCTCTAAGAGAATCAATTATTAAGGAGCTTAATAGCGGCTTGCGAAATGATGCTCCTGATGCTGCCATTGCAATGCGCCAGAAGGTGAGCTTTTCAACAGTTCAGCATAAATCATGTAGCAATGTATTTTATTTATATGGTTTGCTTCTTTGGTTAGTGGCGCCTTTGTGAGATTGGCCTTGAGGACTACTTTTTTGTTCTACTAAGCAGGTGTGCATAAGATTTTTTTTTTTTAATTCTTTTGGAGCAATATTTCCTTTTGGTTGTTATTTAACTTGTCAATGATTTTTGAGTAGATTCCTCAATGGTCTTGAATCTATGGGAGGAGCTGTTCAACTGGCAAAAGATGTGGAATCAAGAAGTGTTTCCTCGTGGAAAGATCCTCTGGATGCTTTGGTCTTGGGTGTTCAGCAAGTAGGTCTATCTGGTTGGAAGCAAGAAGAGTGTTTAGCCATTGGAAATGAACTCCTTGCTTGGCGCGAGAGAGACCTGCTTGAAAAAGAAGGTTACTTACCTTCTCTCACATACATCAACTCGTTCTATGTAACTCTGATGTTGTAAGGCTACACTTCTAAGCTGAAAATGCTCCTTATTTTCATGAAGGGGAAGAGGATGGGAAAACCATTTGGGCCATGAGGCTGAAAGCAAGTCTCGATCGAGCACGGAGATTAACATCAGAGTATTCTGATTTACTTCTTCAAATATTTCCCCCTAATGTTGAGGTACAGACTTTTCCTCTTAATGTGGTCAAATTATCACTTTTGCTGCTAATCTATATATGAAACGTGTTTATCATTTTAGATACTAGGAAGAGCTCTAGGTATTCCAGAGAACAGTGTCAAGACCTATACAGAAGCAGAGATTCGTGCCGGGTAAGTCAGACCTGTTCTTAGCTTAAGCTGTACAAACAACCTCATGAAATCATTTGAGATTCTTTTCTTGCTTATAATTACTTAACATTCATTCTCTTTCTGTATTTTTCATCTGACTAAGCCTGTGGTTCCTTCTGCCTTGCAGTATAATTTTTCAGATCTCAAAGCTCTGCACTGTTCTTCTAAAAGCTGTAAGAAACTCACTTGGTTCTGAGGGCTGGGACGTCATTGTACCTGGATCAACTTCTGGGACACTAGTCCAGGTACGTTGAGAATGTAAATAAATGAATATATAGCTGAGATTTTCAATTTACTACTTTGTGATACATTTTTTGTTTCTTAGGCTTTGTTTGTAATGGTTGGAATTTTCAGTTAGCTATGTCTTAGGCTTTGTAACTTTGATGAGAATTCACATTTTCAAATCTTTCTCTGGCTTTTGAAACTGCAGGTTGATAGCATTGTACCTGGATCATTACCATCAACTGGTGGTGGTCCTATTATTCTCTTGGTCAACAAAGCTGATGGCGACGAAGAGGTTTTTGACCTACACTTAACCTCACCGTGATTCGAAACATCATACTAATAATTACCTCATAACATGCTTTGACAGGTAAGTGCTGCTAATGGGAACATAGCTGGAGTCATGCTTCTCCAGGAGTTACCTCACTTGTCTCACCTTGGCGTCAGAGCGCGGCAGGCAAATAACCTTTTCTCTCTTATTTCACTTCCCTAAACTTCTCTAATAAAGTGCATTGTTGACACTCTTCATTTCACATAATGTTTCCACAGGAGAAGATTGTCTTTGTGACATGTGATGACGATGACAAGGTTGCTGATATACGGCGACTTGTGGGAAAATATGTCAGGTAGTGTTAGCTTGAATCTCTCATAAAATAAGAAGCTCCTGTCTCTTTCTCTAATGTTATCTCTACTATGAACCTTACAGGTTGGAAGCATCTCCAAGCCATGTTAATCTGATACTTTCAACTGAAGATAGGAGCCGTGCTCCCAAATCCAGATCCAATTCTAAGAAGAAAACAGATAAGAAAAGTGTATCTAAGGATGATGAAGAGTCAAAGCCTGTCTCCTCATCTTCTGATAGCCTCCTTAACTCATCCAAGGTAAAAAAATTTTATATCTCTGTGATTCGGTAGCAGATTGATGATATACAACACACATCCACAGGACATCCCTAGTGGAGGAATCATAGAACTTGCGGATTCAGATGCATCAACTTCTGGTTCAAAAGCTGCTGCTTGTGGTCTTCTTGCATCTTTAGCAGCTGCCTCTACTAAAGGTAAAGTTTTCTCAATCTCTCTAAAGGAAATTAAACTCACTGGAACATTGGTTTTACAATGAATGTGCAGTGGACAGTGAGAACGGAGTTCCAGCATCATTCAAGGTTCCAGCTGGAGTTGTCATACCTTTCGGATCAATGGAACTAGCTTTAAAGCAAAGTAACTCAGAAGAAAAGTTTGCATCACTCTTAGAAAAGTTAGAAACAGCCAGACCTGAAGGCGGTGAGCTAGACACCATATGTGATCAGATCCATGAAGTAATGAAAACATTGCAAGTGCCTAAAGAAACAATCAACACCATAAGCAAAACCTTTCCCAAAGAAGCTCGTCTCATTGTTCGTTCAAGCGCCAACGTTGAGGACTTAGCAGGGATGTCAGCAGCAGGACTCTATGAATCAATCCCCAACGTGAGTCCTTCAGATCCTTTAGTGTTCTCTGCTTCCATTTGCCAAGTTTGGGCTTCACTCTACACAAGAAGAGCTGTTCTTAGCCGTAGAGCTGCTAATGTCACTCAAAGAGAAGCTTCAATGGCGGTTTTAGTTCAAGAGATGCTGTCTCCTGACTTATCTTTTGTTCTTCACACTGTAAGTCCAGCTGATCCAGACAGCAACCTTGTGGAAGCTGAGATAGCTCCTGGTTTAGGTGAGACATTAGCTTCAGGGACGAGAGGAACACCGTGGAGACTTGCTTCGGGTAAGCTTGATGGGATTGTGGAAACGTTAGCGTTTGCAAACTTCAGTGAAGAGCTTCTTGTGTCAGGAAAAGGTCCTGCTGATGGCAAATATGTTCGGTTAACCGTTGACTATAGCAAGAAACGGTTAACGGTTGACTCAGTGTTTAGACAGAAGCTTGGTCAGAGACTTGGTTCGGTTGGTTTCTTCTTGGAGAGAAACTTTGGATGTGCACAAGATGTTGAAGGTTGTTTGGTTGGTGAAGATGTTTACATTGTTCAGTCAAGGCCACAACCTCTCTAGAATCTCTTTTATATATGTTCTATAATTCGAATTATAATAAAAAAAATGTCAGAAAACAATTCTGCATTTATGTCAGAACCATATGTTAAGTATGTTTATTTAATAATGAGATATATAGAACTGTTATTTATTTAAGTCAATGTATGTCTGTGGAATTATCTGATTTTTATTTATAAACTTAACTGACAAATAATCCTTTTTATATATACTCCAGAGATATTTTTGAGGAGAAATATATAATATATACAAGATTTTATCATACTTTGCAACTTTTGTTTTGTTAAAAATCCAATACGTATATTTGATAATCTCAGAACTTCCAAAGGAATATTAGATTTTTTTTTTCTTTTCTAAATTACAAATTACACTGAATCAAAAGTTACACGTAATATGATATTTGTTTGATATTTCTTGCTAAATGTATTTATATGATATTAAATCTCGTATTGGCAAAACATCTTTATAATAATAACCATATATGATTATATGATTATTTGCTATTCATATCTCTGCTAACATGGTGTTTTGGCTAATTAGAATCTGAAGAAATCAATCTAAACCCTAAGTAAGTTAAAGAATCTTAGTCAATCTCGTGAAAAAATGGAAAAAGTACAAAGATCACTAGATCTCCTCCGAATCCAAAACACAATCCATCTGATTCTTTCACAATAATGTCTTTTTCCCTTTATATATATGTAACATTATATTTTTGAGTTTCCATCACAAAATATTTTCTTTGAATTCTGTAATATTTTGTTGCTCGCAATAAAGAAAGAGGACGAGAGATATGGCTGATGAAGTTCCAAGTTTGGCAGAGTCGAAGTTAACAGCTTTGGTGGTGGATGACAACTTTGTAAACCAAAGCATGCATCATAAACTTCTCGACCGTCTAGGTATTAAAAACGACGTCGTTTGTAATGGCCAAGAAGCTGTTGATGTTCATTGTTCAGGGAGAAACTATGATCTTATTCTTATGGACATGGAGATGCCCATCTTGAACGGTATTCAGGTAATATTAATTAATAATAATATTTTTACTAATTAAATTCTTCGCTATTCTTTACTATATTTTCTCTTAAACGAATTTGCTATTCTTGCTGTTATTCCCCAGTATGGAAAATGTTATATATTAGCAGTCTTGATTTTTATTTGAAAATTTTCCCATCCATAAACCATAATAATAGGAAATTATTTTTTTTGTTAATTATTCTACCCAATGTTGGAATAAGACACATTAAAAATGTACAGTTAGAGCTGGTTCTCGCATAATAGATGAAACATTCGCGTTTAGCCTCAAATATTAAAGAGATATTAGACATAAATAGTATGACCTCAAATTGTAAAAAAAAAAAAAAAGAGAGAATCTTACAAAAATTATGAGGGTAACTTTATTATTTTTTCGGATCAAAATATTTTTGTGACCGTTTATAATTTAAACTAATATTGGACTGGTGTTTGTTTGATTGAATGAACTTTTATTAGGCGACAAAAAGACTAAGAGAAATGGGGATAGAGAGCAAAATAGCAGGAGTAACAACTAGAGCTAACGAAGGAGACAAGAAAGAGTTTATGGAAGCTGGTCTTAATGACTTTCAAGAGAAACCTCTCACCATCTCCAAGCTTCTGTCTATTCTCCATAGACTTGACTTTTATGTCCAAAACTAATTGATCTACATTATTTGTTAGTGATTTTTTTGTTAATCTTCACATATGTTTTAGATATAACATAAAATTTTAGTTTGTAACATTCATAATTCAAAATAGTAATCACCAATACCATTTTCGATAAAGTTTCCGAGCAAGTGATCATATGCTTAATTTACATAAGTTTCCGAGTTTGTCTGATGTGCATTCCCCCTTATTTTAGCTATATCATAAGTTCATAACTATGTTCAAACTCTAAGGAATTTAAATAGTTCAAAAAAATTCTAAAGGAATTATAAGCATCACATGTGATGCAAGCAAATCTATTATCACTTTCTGCATTGACAATTACCGATTACGCGAGGCCCCATGTGTTGGCTAGTTTGGCGCTTAGGCTAAAGAGCAATATATGAATCAAATGAGACAACCACTGGTTTTTGTAATATCATAAAGTGAAAATTATTTATTCAGTGGAATCAACTACCATCTATAATTCCAGCAAAATAATTCTCATATTTCTGTAATGTATGATTCAATTCTTACGAGATTTTGTTTTTGTTTTTGTGTGTCAACATTTTTTTTAAATACTATTATACTCCCTTTATTTCATTATAAGTGTTATTTAATTTTGTGCACATAAATAAAATAAATAATTAATTTTACATATTTTCTATATAACAATTATTTATATATATAACCACATTTCAATCGATAGAAAAATAACTATATAATAAAATTAGTAAATTTTTCATTAGAAACTGAAAACGAAAATTATTTATAACAAAAATAACTTTCTATTGTGACATTTAATAACGGAGTATTAAAATCTTGGTTTAAATTAAAAGTAACATAGACACATGAACGGAAATTAAATGTCCCTTAACTAGTAATCAACATCAGATTAAATAATAATTAAAACGAATGTGTTAAATATAAATAAACATATATGTGTGCATATATATAGCTTGCCTCTCTCCTTCCTCATTTCTCACTTTTTTCAGCGTTGAATCAAAAAACTTTCTCCCGTCTTCAGGTTCGCTTTTTCCTTTTCTCAGATCTTTCTTAAAAACATCTCTTTCACAGTTTCTTATTCTTGTCTGAAAATTATCTCTGAATCTTAAAAAAAACACATGTGTAATGATAAGTTTGTGTCTCTCATTCATATCATTCTCTCCCAATACTCTGATCTTACATTTTGTCCACAAAGTTTGCATCTTTATTAGATCTTCATCTCTTTTAATTCCAAATTCTGGTTATCGATTTTTTCTTTTGATTCCTCTTAAAAATTCGTTTCTCCATTGTCTTTCTCTTGCAACCGATCTAATTGACTCTTTACATGCTTAAGTATTTTGTTATGTCGGATCTGGATTCTCTTTGTCTTGATCTATGCACGTCAGCATTGTTCTATTCTTACATCATCTTTTCTGTTTTTAAAGTTTGCAACTTTCTATTCCCTTTGGATCTAACTTTTTCCTCTCCTTCTATATATATATATATGCTTAGCATTTAGATCTGTGTGTTTTGGTCCCATTGCATGTAGTTTTTTTTTAATGAAATGTGTTCTCTGGAAACTGATTTAGATTCCTTCTTCACAGGTAATATTTGAACAAATTGCTTACTAGTACTATGGGATCCGTTGTTGATGCTGCAAACAAGGTAATGTTTCAGACACTTTGACATAAACTGTAATAACCAATCTTACTGTTAAAAGAAAGTTACATACAGTGCTTGTTCTGCTTTGGTTATACATTGTTAAACCTATTTAAAGTTTGTTTTTTGTGTGTGTTTTCTTCCAGGAGATTAATGGAACAGCAAGTGGGAAGAAACCCACTGTTATTTTTGTCCTTGGTAAGTTCAGGAGGTCCTTTCATGTGTATAGCTAAATAAAACCGTTACTTTATGGCAATTATGTTTGTGTTTTTTCTTTTATGCCATTATTGAAAGTTAAAAGTGTAGATCTTCTGAGTTAAAAAGTACTTTAATTAATTTCCTGTACATTTTTTTAAACAGGTGGTCCAGGAAGTGGGAAAGGTACACAGTGTGCCTATATTGTTGAGCATTATGGTTATACACATCTAAGTGCTGGAGACCTTCTTAGAGCTGAAATTAAATCAGGTTCTGAAAATGGGTATGCCCTTTAAACCTTCTGACATTGTCTTATAAACTAAAAGCTTGGCTTGTTTAAAGCATGAGGAGTCAGCTTAATATTCATTATCCTTCTTGAGGTTGTTTATTTGAAGCGGTTTGACTTTATTTATGTAATTGTTTTTTGTCTTTTCTAATGGTGTTGCAGAACTATGATCCAGAATATGATTAAAGAGGGGAAGATTGTACCTTCTGAGGTTACAATCAAGCTTCTCCAGACAGCAATTCAGGATAACGGGAATGACAAGTTTCTCATTGATGGTTTCCCTCGCAATGAGGAGAACAGAGCAGCTTTTGAAAAAGTTGTAAGTAACATATATAAGCTTTATAAGACAGTTATGTACGTTTTTGCTATACAACTGCTTAGTAATTACATGTGTTTGGTGATGTTTGTAGACTGGGATTGAACCCAAGTTTGTCTTGTTCTTTGATTGTCCTGAGGAAGAAATGGAGAGGCGTCTCTTGGGAAGAAACCAGGTTACTATGATATGAAAAGCCCTGTCTAGGCTCTTGTTTCATTCTTAATATAAATAGGTATTGATTGTTACCTTCGTTTCTGTTGTTGAAGGGGAGAGAGGATGACAATATCGAGACTATAAGGAAGCGTTTCAAGGTGTTTCTTGAATCTAGCTTACCAGTGATTCAATACTATGAAGCCAGAGGGAAAGTTCGCAAGGTATAATCCTTTTTCTTGTTTGCGTTGAGTCCAGCAGTTCTAAGTTGTAAGAAAGTTTTGTTGTTTCTACTACTTGGCTTCAGATTCATGCCGCAAAGCCCATTGAAGAAGTGTTTCAGGAGGTGAAGGCAGTCTTTTCTCCTGAAGCTGAGAAGGTAAGAAACAATAGTTGTGCTATTCTCTAATCTCTAATAGTCAATAGGAAATTAAAGACTCATATGAACTACCTGTGATGTAGGAGCTTGTAACTAATGTTTTATTCTGTAAGATAAAGAATCATGCAAATTACTTAAAAAACTTGCCACAGTGATATTGTTTATACTGTAGAGGGCCTAGAGGCCAAGTAGCTGCAGCTATGATGCCATTATTGTATCACTTAAGCTATTGGTAAGATTCTTTAGTTACTGATTCTGTGAACGCTTTGTTTAGGTTGAAGCCTAGGCAGCAGCATCGTGAAGAGATACTACATTGATCAGGTATTTGTAGCAGTCAATGATTGATCTGTCATTTTTTTTTTTTTGAATTATGTTCAAACACAATTCAAGTAAAAAAGGTAAACTTAATTTTGAATAAAAGTTGTGGAAGTTGAGGCTTCTTAATGGCATATATGTATTGTGTAACTAGTTCTGCAAGAATCTTTAGGACAAAAGGATTATGTGATGAAGATTAATGTCTGGTTTCTTTTGAAACTTTATAGGTAGCTGGGCGGTTCATTTTTACAAGGAAGTCTCTGCTTGGTTGTATTTTTCTTCTTCTATGTAACCAATATGATTACTGTTATAATTATTATACACCTTTACCTATTATGTAATTTTTGTTTTGATTTTGTATTTGATGGGATTTTGTGATTGGTTTTTGTAATTTCATAATTTTGAACTCATTGGATTATATTAATCCTTTTTATAGATTAATGAAATATGTGTGTTATGGTCTTTCTTGTTGTGCCCTTCATTTATTTCTGTTATAACTTTTATTTTCCACCAAATCCACGATATTAAGCTAATTATAAAAGAATATTCACATAATGTAACTAAATACATCTCCTGAGTTATTCAGTAGAAAAATCAATACTCAGTATAATTATTTAGTATTTTAATAAGGCCTAAGATATGGTTGTATTATTGTTTGGCAAAACAAACAATACTATTAAAAAGAAAAGACGTCTTAGATGGTGTTATTCAATCATGTATTTTAAAAGAGTTTAAATCTAAACACAATTCACTGTTATTCAATTGATGATTCTAAATTCTATTTTAAAATTCAGTGTTATTCAATCTATGATTGAATTTTGGGTTTTAAAATCTGGTGTTATTCAACTTTTAAGGATTTTAAAATTCTTTGTAATATAAGTGGATTTCAAATCATCAGTGATGGATTCTAATGAATAAATGATTAAATGATTAAACTCAAAATCCAAGGGATATTGCAGAGATTTTAGAATTCATCAACTTTAACAATCTTAAAATTTAAAAATCTAATAGATTGTAAATATTTAAAATTGATTTTAAATCACTAATTGAATAACACCCCCTTAAAAGATCTATTTAAGAATGTTGTTTGGACCTATTCATTAACTAACTATTTATTTAATATTTCTTTTTATTTCCCTAACTATAATAATGTATAAAAGGGAATCATTTTTAATTTTTCCTAAATCAACTTTTTACACCCAAATAATATATCCTAACAGTCAAATAATATAATTACCTAACCATATCTCCTCATATTTTTTGCGATAAATTGAGTATGTGATATAACATTACGTCGTGACTTTATGTGATAGTGATACATTCACTTTATGTAATATACTTTATTCTTCCATTTTACATTGTATCAAATAAACTAATCCGTACAAAGTAAAACGAATACTTACTACATATACATTGACTCACACTATATTTTTTAAACAATGACATATTAAAAATACAATATATGTTTCTTCATTATTTTATATATATATTATCATAGTATTTTAATATATGTGGATATTAATACAAACAAGTTCAAATTTTATATTAAACGATTTTTTAAAACTTTTGGTTAACAAGATATTTAGATTGGTGAAAGATCATAACTTATGCTTGCTATATTTTTGTGAATGATCTTACTTTTATGTATATCATCATGTGCAGTAAATGTGATCAATCTTAATAACTATTAGAACATTTATTTCCATTTATTAGGAAGTTATGTTCATTACTCATGTATATTAAGCATTATAAACATAGTAAATGTTTTATGTTATATTGATTGAGACTCTTAAATATAATAATTTTTTGGTGATGTCAAAAATGGTTTGGGTGCGGATCTGTTCCTTTCAGGTATACAATTTTTTGGTACATAGTGGATCCGAATAAATTTGGGTATTTAGGACTTTAAGTATCAATAAACCCAAAAATCTGAAGCCCAAAAATACATGAAAACTCAAATAAATACGTCAAATCTATTCAATTACTCATAAAATCTGGATTAAAAAAAAACAAAAAATATCCAAAATTAATTTAAATACCCAAAATATATTTTTAAGACTTTGAAATTTTACAAGAAATCGGAAACTGTAACCGAAAACACAAATTTGAAACTTATAAGAATATCGATAATACTAAAACTTATACGAAATATCCAAACATACCTAAAATAAAATAAAAAAATCGCATACTTTGGAAACCAGCGGGTCTTAAAAATAACTAACATGTACTTTACCCTAGACCCGAACAAAACCTATATTTTGGGTCGTTTTTAGTTTGTGTGTTTTGGATCTGAATAAAATGCATAGACTTAAAGAGAGTTACACAAACTAATTTATAAATTATATAATTTTAAAAAATTCTCTGCTTCGAAATAATACGATTTTGTAACATAATATTGTAAAAAAATCCAAAACTACTGATTCATATCAACTACTAATTCTCTGCTTTGAAATAATTTTGTTTATAGTCTAAAAAAACCGGGTCAAAATCTAGTAGTAACTTAATACTTGATAGGATTCAGATCCAGAGCCGACAAATTTACGCTTTGTCTCAAATATTTTTTATCATGAGATTACCATCTACGTTTTTTTAAATATTTTTTATTCACTAGATGAAATAATAAAAAGCAATAAGAAGAATACAAATCCTACATGGTCATTTAAAATGTTTTTTGTTCACTAAATGACATAATAAAGAAGATTACAAATCCTACATGATCATTTCAATCATGTACTTGATATCTACTTTCATGGAAAAATGACATATTACAACCTCAACAATTTCGATCGCACTTTTTCGTATTCGAACAAGTATTAGGACATGATTAACCCTGATCTCTTAGCCAAGGCTTTTAACTCATGATTTAATATCTTTTTGTCTTTTTATATACTTTTCGGTTAATAGACGGCTTTTATATCTCCTATTTAATAGACGATTCTTATCTTTTCTTAATTAAAATCTAAGAAAATCTAAAGACCATCTCTTACCCGAAATTAAGAACTCTAATTAAGAGAATAGAATTAATGATGATCTTAAGCGCGATTTCTTATTGGAACAAGTATCAGTTCAATTTTGATCTTATATTTTTATAGTTTTAAGTTTTAACTCTTTACAACACAAAAGCCAATAATATTTGGCCAATTCTATTTATGTCAAATCAGATAGACATCACAAATCTCTTTTCAAAGTCAAACCAAATTAAAATAGCTTGTCAATCCTATTTATGTCAAACCAAATAGAGATCACAAATAATCTTTCCAAAGTCAAACCAAACTAAGATAGAACAACAACACAACAAAAATAACAAATGTACTAAATATAGTGGCAAAGACCTAGTATATAAACGCCTTCCTCTTATCACCAATTTGCACATCTCATATCTATCAATAAATTACAGAAAAAAAAAAACACAAGTCCTAATAAACTTGTGAAGAGAAAATGGCGGGAAAAGTGTGTATGGTGTTGGCACTTATCATGATAGGGTGTGTTTTGCAAGCATGCAATGGAGCCAATGTTGATGAGAGCAACCCAACGCAAAGTTCAAAATTCGTTTGTTTCAGAACCTGCTCCATAGCTTGTGGCAAACAAAACGAACCTTGTTACAATGAATGTTTGACCAAATGTGGTCTCCCACAGAGACCCCCTAGACCAACATCATCTTCATCACCTTCTACCACCGCTTGATCTGATTTTTTTTATTTGTGATTTGTTTCTTTATTGCCAAGGATGCCATCTATATGTTTTTGTTTATTATGAAGAAAAATTGAGATTTATTTAATAAAATTTGATTATACTTATATCTGGTTTTTATCTTAACATAGACAAACCAGTTAGCTTGTTGCAACGCAAAACGAACAATTATTATCATGTCAAGATCAGTGGGAGTAAATTCAATAGTCTGTTACAATGACACGGTTCTCTCTTAAAATACATGTGATCACGATTCACTTAAAATAATAAAAACGTACAAAAAGAGCATGAATATTATTTTGTTTTAATGCATAGCTCCATCATGATTAAAAAGGTTTGAGAGTTTAGTTGTTCTCTTTTATCCTGAAAAAAATAGTTTTAATAGAAGTTAGTTCACTTATTAGATGATATATATATATATATATATTTATATAAATTACTCAATAAAAATTAGAAATAATGTACCATGAAAAGAAATTTATCATACATATATATATAAATTTAGAGTGTGATTAAGTATTTTTTGATAACACTTAAAAGACTAAATATTATAGATAGTATTTATCAGATAATTCAATCTTTTCTTATGATTAGTCAGCATATTTCAAGATAAATAAGAAAATATGATATTTTTGTTTTAATGCATAACTGCATCATGCACTGACATAGTATATAGATTAAAGTGATTTAAGATCTTCAGTGTTTATAGATTTTATAGGTATTAGTCCACCAATTACGATGCATCTGAATTTTTTTTAAAAATTATTCGTTGAAAATTAGAAATGATGTGCATGTACCATGTAAATATGTTTATCATACATGAATATAAATCTAGAGAGTGGTTAGGTATTTTTAAAACAACCTTAAATAAGCTAAAATTTAGCATATATAATATTTATTGGAAAAAACTTGATATTTTTATAAAATAAATTAAAACATATAGTATTTTGTTTTAATATATAACTTCATTATGCAATAAAATTTGATGAAAATTAAAGAGGTCTGAGATCTTATTTGTCCACGCTTCTATAGAAATTAAAGGTTTGTTAGTACACAAAATTAGGTAGAATATGAAGTTTTATAAATTACACTAAAATATTAGAAACTATGTCCATGTACCATGAAAATAAGCTAAGCATACATTAATAAAAATGTAAAATGTGATTATGTACTTTTTAATCAACATGAAAGTGCTTAAACTTCAGTATATAGCAATTATCGAAAACTAGATCTTTTGTAGGGGTTAACCCATAGATTTCAAGATAAGTTAGCAAATAAAATACTTTTTTTTAATGCATAGATGCACTCAGAAAATATATAGAATAAAAATCAAGGATGTCTGACACCTTTGTTGCCCCAATTTCTCTATAAAATAGAGATTTCATAGGGTGTAGTTCTTTGATTTACGTGGTATATGAAGTTTTATTAAACTACTCGTTCGAAAATTATAACTGATGTCTATGTACCATGAAAATAAATTTAGAATACATTAGTATAAATCCTTACTGTGAGTAGATATTTTAAACAACACTCAAGAGGCTAAACTCAAGTATAAATAGCATTTATAAAAAAAAAACTCGATATTTTTGTAAGGGTTATCCCACAAATTTCAAGATAAATTAGAAAAATATGTAATTTTTTATTTATGCATAGCTTTCTACAACACTGATATATGATTAATATCAAAGAGTTTTGATACCTTAGTTGTCCAATGTTCTTTAGAAAATAGAAATTTCATAGGGTTTAGTTCACTGATTTTGGTGGTAGATGAAGTTTTATTAAATTCTTTGGTTGAAAATTAGAACAGATACCTATGTACCATGAACATAAATTTAGTACTTTAATATAAATTATGAATGTAGTTATGTGTTTTTAAACAAAACTAAAGAGGTTTATAGATAATATTTATCGGAAACTCGATCTTTTTGTAGGGGTTAAACCACATAGTTCAAGATAAATTATAAAGTATGGTATTTTTGTTTCACTGAATGATGCATCATACACTGACACAGTATGGATATTAAAGAGGTTTGAGACCTTAGGTGTTTCCATTTCTCCATAAAATAAAGTTTTTATAGAGATTACTCCACTTGTTTGGTGGTATATGGATTTTAAATAAATTACTCACTGAAAAACTAGAAATGATGCCCATGTACATATATATAAATTTGGAGTGTAGTTAGTTATTTTTAAACAAAACTAAAGAGGCTAATTAGTATAGATAATATTTATTGGAAAATTCAATCTTTTCGTATGGGTTAACCCACATATTTCAAGATAAATTAGAAAATATCGTATTTTTGTTTCAATGCATAGTTGTATTATGCACTGACATTATATAAATATTAAAGAGGTTTGAGACTTTATGTGTTCTCATTTCTCTAGAAAATAGAGATTTTATAGGGGTTAATACATTTGTTATGTCGTATATGAAGTTTAAAGAATATATTCATCGGAAAATTATAAATGATGCTAATATACCATGAAAATATGTTTAGAGTTCATTAATATACATTTAGAGTGTAGTTAGGTATTTAAAAAACATAAATGAGGCTAAAATTTAGTATATATATCATTTATTGGAAAAAACTCAATTTTTCTGTAACATAAATTAGAGAATATTGTATTTTATTTTAATACATAAATTCATCATGCATTGATATGTGATGAAAAATAAAAAGGTCTATGATCTTATTTGTTCTCTTGTCTCGAGAACTTACAGATTTTATAAGGGTTAGTCCACTTAATTTGGTGGAATATAAAATTTTATTAAATTATTTATTAAAATATTTGAAACATTGCCCGTCTACCATGAAAATAAGTTTAAAAGACATTAGTATAAATGTATAATGAGATTAGGTATTTTATTTAGTCAACAAGAAATAGCTTATACTTCAGTATATACCATTTTTCAGAAAAATTGATCTTTTTACAGGGGTTAACCCACATATTTCAAGATAAATTAGAAAATATGGTACTTTTTAGTGCATAGATGCATCCAGCACAGATATAGGATGAAGATCAAAGATGCCTGACACCTTTATTGTCTCAATTTCTCTAGAATATAGAGATTCCATAGAGATTATTTCTTTGATTTACGTGGTATATGAAAATTTATTAAATTAATCGATGGAAAATTATAACTGATGTTCATGTACAATGAAAATAAATTAAGGATGCATTTGTATAATATTTTAATGTGGTTAGATATTTTAAACTACACTAAAGAGGCTAAATTTAAGTACATGTAGCATTTATTGAAAAACTTTGATCTTTTCGTAAGGGTTAACACACATATTTCAAGATAATTTTAAAAATATGGAATTTTTGTATTTATACATAGTTGATTTTAACACTAATATATGATGGATATCAAAGAGTTTTTATATCTTAGTTATCCAAATTTCTCTGGGAAATAGAGATTTTATAAGGTTTATTTGATTGATTTTGGTGGTAAATGGAGTTTTATTAAATTCATCGGTTAAAAATTAGAACTGGAGTCCATGTACAATGAACATAAGTTTAGAAATTTAATATAAATTCTTAATGTGGTTATGTATTTTTAAACAAAAACATATATATATATATACTATTTATCGGAAAACTCGATCTTTTTGTAGGGGTTAAACTATACATTTCAAGATAAATTAGAAAATATGATATTATTGTTTTAATGAATTGTTGCATCATGCACTGACATAATATGAAGAATAGAGATGATTAAGACCTTAGGTGTTTCCGTTTCTCCAGAAAATATAATTTTTATAGGGGTTATGCCATTTATTTGGTGGTATATGAAGTTTAAATAAATTATTCATTGAAAAATTAGAATTATTCTCATGCACCATGAAAATAAGTTTAGCGTACTTATATGTAAATTCGGAGTGTGGTTAAGTATTTTTAAACAACACTAAAGAGGTTAAGTAATATAGATAGTATTTATTGGAAAATTCAATTTTTTCGTAGGGATTAACCCACATCTTTCAAGATAAATTAAAAACTATGGTATTTTTTATTTAATGCATAGTTGCATCATGCACGGACATAGTATGAAAAATAAAGAGGTTTGAGACCTTAGGTGTTCCCATTTCTCTAGAAAATAGAAATTTTATAGAGGTTAAAACAATAATTAGTTCGTATATGAAGCTTAAAGACATTATTCGTTGGAAAATTAGAAATGATTCTCATATACCTTAAAAGCATGTTTAGAATACATTAATTTATATTTAGAGTTTAGTTAGGTAGTTTAAAAATATTAATGAGGTTAAACTTTAGTATATATATATAGCAGTTATTGGAAAAAAATAATCTTTTCATAAGATATATTAGACAATATTATATTTTATTTTAATGCATAGCTTCATCATACACTGAAATGTGCTGAAAATTAAAGAGGTTTGAAATCTTCTTTGTCTTTGTTTCCCTAGAACTAACATATTTTATAAGGGTTTGTTCACTAAATTAGGTGGAATAAGAAGTTTTATTACGCTACTCAGTAAAATATTAGAAACATTGGTCGTGTACCATGAAAATAAGTTTAACATACATCAATATTAATTTATAATGTGATTAGTTTGTTTTAACTAACAACAAAAGAGCTTAAACTTCAGTATATATCATTTCTCGGAAAACTATGATTGTTTTTAGGGATTAACCCACAGATTTCAAGATAAATTAGAAAATATGATACTTTTCTTATAATTCATAGATTCTCCAGCACAGATATAAGATGCATATTAAGGATGTCTGACAGATTTGTTTTCCTAGTTTCTCTATAATATAAAGATTTTATAGGATTTAGTTCTTTGATTTACGTGGTATATGAAGTTTTATTAAATTATAAGTTGAAAAAGTATAACTGATGTCCATGTACCATGAAAATAAATTTAGGACACATTTGTATAAATTTTTAATATGGTTATATATTTTAAAATACAATAAAGAGGCTAAATTGAAGTACAAGTAGAATTAACCGAAAAAAGCAATCTTTTTATAGGGGTTAACCCACAGATTCAAAATAATTTGAAAAATATGGTATTTTGTATTTATGCATATCTGGATCCAGCACTGATATATGATGGAATCAAAGAATTTTGATACCTTAGTTGCCCAAATTTCTTTAGAAAATTGAAATTTAATAAAGTTTAGTTGATTGATTTTGGTGGTATATGGAGTTCCATTAAATTTCTCGGTTAAAAATTAGAACTGATGTCCATGTAACATAAACATAAGTTTAGTACTGTAATATAAATTTTGAATGTGGTTATGTATTTTCATACAAAAATAAAAAGGCATATATATATCATTTATCGAGACACTCGATCTTTTTGTAGGGGTTAAACTACATAATTCAAGATAAATTAGAAATTTTGATATTTTTGTTTTAATGAATTGTTGCATCATGCACTGAGATAGTATGAAGAATAAATATGAGTAAGACCTTAGGTGTTCCCGTTTTTCAGAAAATAAAATTTTTATAGGGATCAGTCCACTTATTAAGTGGTATATGAATTTAAGTAAATTACTCATTAGAAAATTAGAAATAATGCTCATGTACCATTTAAATAAGTTTAGCATACATATATATAAATTTGGAGTATGGTTAAGTATTTTAAACAACATTAAAGAGGCTAAACAGTATAGATAGTATTTAACAGAAAATTCAATCTTTTCGTAAAGGTTAACCCACATATTTCTAACTAATTTGTAAAATATTGAACTTTTGTTTTAATGCATAGTTGCATCATGCACTGACATAGTATGAATATTAAATCGCTTTGAGACCTTAGGTGTTCCTATTTATTTTTTAAAAAATAGAGATTTTATAGGGGTTAATACATTAAATAGGTCTTATATGAAGTTTAAAACAATTACTCATTGGTAAATTAGAAATGATGCCTATATACCTTGAAAATATGTTTAGAATACATTTAGATTGTGGTTAGGCATTTAAAAAACTATTAATGAGGCTAAACTTTAGTATATAGCATTTATTGGAAAAAAATCGATCTTTTTGTAAGATAAATTAGAAAATATGATATTTTATTTTAATGCATAACTTCATCATACACTGACATGTGATGAAAATTAAAGAGTTATGTGATCTTATTTGTTTTTGTTTCCCCAGAATTAACAGATTTTATAAGGGTTAGTCCACTAAAATTAGGTGAAATATAAAAATAAGTTTGACATACACTAATATAAATTACTCATTAACATATTGGAAATGTGGCCTGTGTACCATGAAAATAAGTTTGACATACACTAATATAAATGTATAATGTGATTAGATAATTTTTAGTCAACATGAAAGAACTTAAACTTTAGTATATAGCATTTATCACAAAAAATTGATTTTTTAGTAGGGTTAACTCTCATATTTTAAAATCATGTAGAAAATATGGTACTTTTATTTCAATGGATAGATGCATCCAACACATATAAATAATGAACATCAAAGATGTCTGATATCTTCTTTTTCTCAATTTCTCTAGAATATAGAGATTTCATAAAGTTTAGTTATTTGATTTACGTGGTATATGAAGTTTTTTTAAATTACTCGTTGAGAAAATTATAAATAATGTCGATGTACCATGAAAATAAATTTAGGATACACTAATATAAATTTTAATGTGGTTAGATATTTAAAACAACACTAAAGAGAATAAAGTTAAGTACAAATAACATTTATTGGGAAAACTCGATCTCTATTGTGGTGGTTAATCCACAGATTTCAAAATAAGATATATATATGATGGATATCAAAGAGTTTTGATACCTTAGTTTTCCAAATTTCTTTAGAAAACATAAAATTTATAAGGTTTAGTTCATTGTTTTTTGTTGTATATGGAATTTTATAAAATTTTCAGTTAAAAATTAGAACTGATGTCCATATACCATGAACATAAGTTTAGTATATTAATATTAATTTTGAATGTGGTTAGTATTTAAATTAGTATTGGCATATTAAATTGAATTATAATCTGAAATTTGAAAATTAATATAAATTTTAAGTAGCATATATAAATAAATAGATATATATATATATATGTAGTCTAGTATATTAAAATTAATTTTGAATGTGGTTAGTATTTAAGTTAGTATTGGCATATTAAATTGAATTATAATCTGAAATTTTAAAACAAATATAAATTTTTAGTTACATCTATAAATAAATAAATATATAGGTAATCTACATTGTACACATGTTACAAGAATCTTTTTTTTTTTAAATAAAACAATATTGTTAGAAAAATATAAGTTATGCAATATGATATATTTATTTCTATAAAATGAGTTTGGCACGGATTCTTTATCTAATTTTTGTTTAAAAATCGATAGGCGAGAGTTAGACGCCTTATAATCATGCAAGTTATAAAATTTCAAATATAATTTCATCCACTGAATGGCATAAGAAAAAAAGAAACAAGGAAAATGCAAATCCTACATGACATGATCATTTCGACCAGGTACTTGCCATCTATTTTCGTAGTTTTAACTCTTTTGGACAACACGGAGATCAAACATAGCAATCCTATTTATGTCAAATCAGACAGAAATCACAAATATCTATTCAAGTCAAACCAAACTAAAACCACAAAAACAAAAGGCACATAAATAACATATGTGCTATATATAGAGGGAAATACTCAATATTTAAACACATTCCTCTCTATCAACCATTTGCACATCTTATATCTATCAAACAAAAAAAAAAAAAGAATAAAACACAAGCCCTGATAAAACTGTAAAGAAAAAAAATGGCGGGAAAAGTGTGTATGTTGATGGCATTGATAATGATAGGGTGTGTTTTACAAGCATGCAATGGAGCCAATGCTGGTGAGAGCAACCCAACGGAAAATTCAAAGATGGTTTGCTTCAAAACCTGTTCCATAGCCTGTGGTAAAGAAAACAAACCTTGTCACCAAGAATGTTTGACCAAGTGTGGTCTCCCAAAAAAACCTTCTACAACCGCTTGATCTGATCTATTCTTTTCTTATTTCGGGTTAATCTGATCTGATCTATTTTATTCATGAATACTGTATATAATAAAACTGAGATTTAATGTATATAATAAAATTTGAATATATTATATATCTGTTTTTTTTATGACAGACAAAAAATAGTTAGCTTCTTGCTACATAAAAAGAGACTCGATTACTTTCTTTCAAATAGACCACTAAATATGGTTAAATTAAGAGGAAACAATTCTATTAGACTAATGAAACAGTTTTGTCAAAACACATGTGATCACCTTTCACATATAATAACAAAAACGTACAAAAAACAGAAAGAGTAGTGGTAATAAACTGACTAACCACTTAAATCATACAAAACTCAGAAACATGGAATCTGTTTATTGTCAGAACTTAAAAAAGATTCATTAGGTTTCCTTGTTTCCGAAGCAATCTCTAAAAATGCCAATTGAGGAAAACCTTCTCCTATACTTACTTCTTCTGCCTCTCTTTTTCATGCACCAGGCTTGTTGTTAAGCCTTGTCTGAATCGTACATCCTCCATGATTGCAATCTCTACCGTTTGAAACAAACGGTTGAATCAAACACGAAAGGATCCGCATTAAGAACACCAGAAAGGACATGGATCTCTCACGAGAACACTTTTAAACCCTCTCTTATCAGGACAATCTGCTGCCCTTTGTCCTGAGCTTCCACAAGTGAAGCAATCACGTTACTAATAGTTTATAATATGACGATTGTTTTTATTGATTTTATTCTGGAAGTAAGAGACCTAGTCGTAGCATTATGAACGTTGGAGACAGTTGTTCTTAGAAGTTAGAACTTTTGTTGTGACAATTCATAAGAGATCTTGTTCTTAGGATGGTAGGTTTTGACCAAAGCAACCATAGTACGTGCATAGGAGTTGGCGTATCCATTTTTAATGCTCAATGTCACATCTTCACCTACCTAATTGACTACTTTGGTCTACCAAACATTAATTATTTAGGTCTTTCATATGCTTGTGTGTGTGCTTACAAATGTTTGTATAGTATAAATGATATTATTTCCTCCCTTTAACTTTATTTGTCACTTTAAGTTTTTGCATGATTAAGAAAACATTTAAATTTAACATATTTTCAAAATAAAAACACAATTATCTATAGACATAACCACTTTTCAACCAATAATAAAATAAAATATTATATAAAACTAATAAATTTTATCTCGAATTTCTAAAACAACACTTAATTTGTGACAAAAAATATAAAGTTTAGAATGACAAGTATTGGAGGTAATACTACATAAAAATATTGTTAGTGCATTCACTCTTGAAATAAATGGTTTCATTCTCAGTCGTTGAACGCCTATACTTTTGTAGTTAGTTAATGCTTAATAGAATATTGTTACGGGACCAAGGTTACATTAAAGTCTCACCAGATTCTTGGCTGGATTAACGAGGAGTACAAAGACTTTCACATCAGCAAAAGAGAGAGAGAGAGAGAGAGCACATAGGTTTGCGTCAATAAGAAGACAGTGTGTAAAACATAAAAGCGAAATGGTTTAGTCTTTATAAACCACTTTTAACGCACGCTTTTATTACCAATAATCTTCTCTCTAATAAACCTTTCTTTTTAAAGGGTTCCCTGCGCCAAACTTGGAAACATAATAATCTTCACTGGTCTCAGACTCCGATGAGTGAAGAGAAGCTCGTCTTAAGAAGCAGCTTTAGCGGAGACTGTTACTACCATGGAAACTACGGTCATGGAGCATATGGAGAGTATTTGGAGAAGAGACAGCTGTTTCTCAGGAGCTACCAGTTCTCAAGAAAACAGAGCTTCACTGAGAAGGTTACGAGATCCGCGAGGAGAGTTAAGAGGTTTGTATGGACGAGGTTGAGATCAGCTAGGAGGTTGAAACGTGTTGTCTGGTCACGAGTCAGAACGGCGTTTTTCTACCGCCGGAAACGTTTTTTCCGTTTACTTCACTTACACGACGAACCTTCTTACTGCTTCTAAAGGTTTTAGATTTGGCTGAACTCATTCAGTTGTTGTTGTTTGTTCGGTCTTTGATTATGTTTTGTTATGCTCAAATAAACCACTGTATAATTTTTTACCAAAAAAAAAAAAAAACCACTGTATAATCTCGTTATTGATTTTGTTCGGTCAAAAACCATTTATATTCATTGAAAGATTTACATAGCTAGAAAAGTAAATACTCTATTATTATAACTTTTACTCTTTTCATTTCCTCCTTTTAGATTTTTGGTCACATATTAAAAAACATTTAATTTGAATATTTTTTAAATAGAAACATTATTATCTATATATCTAATTCATCTCGATTAATAGAAAAAATAAAATACTAAGTAAAACTAATAAATTTTATATTAAAATTATAAAACGATATTTATTTTGAAACTAAAATTTTACTACGATTGAATTAACACGCAGTGAGTAGCTTAGAAAAAAAAATATTTAATGTCAAAGAAATTCATGCAAGATGTACGTGAACTTCGCGTTTGAACACAGTTGAGAGACAGCTAAAATAAAAAGCGTTTTAGTCAGAGATTGGTTCCTCTTTTGTTCAATAAGTCAAAGTTGGGTTTTTCGTCTGGTTTTTAAGCCTATTTCCTTATAATGGGCTTTAGTTGTAAGCTGACTATGCCGACACTGGGTGCATGCTATTTAGCGACAGTGTGACATGGTCACATGTTACTCAACTCATGGGTTTTGGCTTCCCGACCAACTCTTGATTTTTCAAACACCTCATGACGCATTCTTGTAATGTGTTGCGTTCTTTGTATACATTTGCATGTTGTTGCAGCCAATAAGAGACGTATTTGGGATTACAAGCTTATCTCATGTCTACGTAGACTTGTTTTTTTATAAGGACGAACAAGAGGGACTTTTGTCTGTTCTATTCATGTTGCCAAATTGCTTACTTAGTGGCTTCTCTTCTCCTTAATCTCCTTATTTAGATATACAGCTTCTTGTTCAATCATTTTCACATGTCTATCACATTTCATATTATTATATTAACTTTAACTATAATTCTTAATTCTTTCTATGTGACAACCATAGTCACATAGGGTCAAATACATGGCATCTGCAGACTCTCTGACTCATGTGTCTAAACAAAACCTGCAAAAAAATTCAGAAGATTTCAATAATTACAAAAGTATATAATATAGACATGTGCTTTCAGAATCTTTCCATCACTCTCTTATCATTTAATGGAGCCCCTTGCTCTCATCAATCATCATCAAAGTGTTCTTTGTTTTGTTACTCAACACTTCCTCTTTAGATTCATTACTTATTTAAGTGGTCTCTTTCTTCAATAGCTACTTTCAAACGCTTCATCATTTATGTTCTCTGCTTTGTATCTTCCAAGCAACAACAATAAAGCTCAAGATGCTGCACATTACTGGTAAGTACCGGTCAAGATCATTGTGCCGTTACCAAAAGTTAGGTCGGGGAAAGAAGCTCGAAGGTAGATCAAAAGGATTCAGACTAAACCGACCAAGAACGCTGGTTCTTAACGCAATGGTTTTACCAAGAAGGATCTTGAACATTTACTCGCGGGTCAAAGATAAAATGAACAAAGAAGGTTTTCATTCCAATCTCATTCTCTCTTCTCACTGGGGCTTCCCTATTGTATTAGAGAAAAATCTCACATATTGATGTTTGTTACTTCGTATTAGACCACAAGAATATCACAAGAAAAAAGAATGGTGAAAATTGTAACAAAATGCTATTTGTAATCATGAGCAAAGGTTGATAATGAAACATTTGTTTTACCACCCAAGAACTATTATAATAAGTCATATGATCCTAATTGTAAGAAAATTGTCTAGTAAGATTTCTTTAAGCTTCTTAAATTAATAGGGGCGACCAGTTTTTTTTTTTTTTAACGTTGATTTATTATGATATTACAATTATGAAAAAAAATTATTAAATCTTATAAAATATTTATTTTGCATTTTAACTAAATTTTTTTTAGACAACTTGTAAAAGAAGTGTATATATGACTCTTGTCACACTTACTAAATGAATTTAAGTCACGGATCAACCATGCATCAACTAATCACCACGAGCCTTACACCAGTTTAGTATCAACTCCTAACATTCATGAACTTCTGCGTTCCACTTTCCTATAAGTAAAGTTTTCAACGTTATAGAATTTTGATCATAAGTGATGATTTTAACATCAGCTACTATGAGATCTCTTTTCCTAACGATATCTCTTTTGTTCTTCTTCCTTCTCACCATTCTTGCATCCACAGTAACCGAGCCACATCCAACACCCATACTAAGACACGACAACCAAAGCAGCGACCTCTTCTCCGCCATCTCCGACATGAGAAGAGAATCTTACTACGGTTTTGTCACCCTTCTCCACATCTTCAACGACACAGATTACTTCAGGAACCAAGAGATCACTTTCTTGATGCCTAACGATGAGGATATATCTCAAGCAGACATGAGTGACGAGAGTCTTGAAACATTTATACTAAGACATACCATCCCTGCATGGCTTATGATCAACCACATGCTTCGTTTCCCTAACAAAACTCTTGTCCCTTGTAGCATCCCTGATAGAATGTTCACCATAACAAAGTCTGGTGGGTCTGGACTTTTTGTGAACAATGCGAGGATTGTTTCTCCTAATATTTGTCAAAACTCTCGCATATCTTGCCATGGAATCAACAATGTTATTACGTTTAATGAAGACTCGTTTCCAAAGGGAAAGTCATCACCCAAGATGTTATCATCAAAAATCAATTCGTCGAGGCACTGAGGGTGTGAGAGGATGTTCTAATGTTTTTTTTTTTTAAATAAGAGTTGTAGTGTGACTAATAAACTCTAGACTATGTTCTCCTTTATTAAGTATCGGGTTAAATGTTAACTAGACGTAAATTTATGTAACAGAGTTTCAGTGTGAGTAATAAACTTGATAAACTCTAAAACTGTGCAGAACATGATCATTGTTTACCAGTTTGATATAAACAGTTGTGTATTGGTTCTAACTCGAAGTGTGATTGGTACATGTTACATTGAATTGACTTATATTTAGCTTGTGTATGAGATCAAATGAGATCAAACTCATGATAACAAAGGATATACTATACTAATCATAACCAAGGATGTACTACTTGTCATTTTCCAAATGATTCATAGAAGCTCATATATATAGTCTAGCCTTATTTCTCAACCTCTTTTGTTGAATACCCTTGTCTTATTTACTTGTTTGATAAAAGAATCACTGTTCTGCTCGTACACAAAACCTTCAATGCTAGTAGAGATGGGCATACTTCTTCAGGATACAGTGAATCATATAGAACTGCACACAAGAAATGCCACTTGATCTAGGGGGGTTAGTGGGAGTAAAATTTAGGTAGAGTTGATTGATTTTAAGAATCAATAGATTTGATAAATTTATAAAGAGTTATAATGAGTTTTTCATATTTAAGAAATCTATGAAACTATTCCACATACAAGGATTTTGAGAATCTTGAGTATAAATACAATATTTTGAAAATTTTGTTTTATGAGTTGAAAGGTTAGAATCTTAATCTCAATAACACTAGATTGTGATAGAATAATAAAATTATTAAAATAAATTTTTTTTGAATAACTATGGATTGTTTATGTTATTAAAGAATCCTCAAACCAATCAGTAACACTCAATTTTTATAAGAAGGTTAGAATCTATTAGCCAATAACTATTAAATTTTAAAATTTTAACATATCATTATAAATGTAGTTCTCACTAACAACACTCCCTAAACCAATTCAATCCAAGTTGGGGTAAATAATGTAAAGGTTGATACTTTATGGACCATACTGTGAAAAGTATAAAACTTGAGCCTTCCCAAGTTAAAACCTTCCCTGTCTAAAGCCCAAGGATCAAAACCTAACCTTAAAGAAGAGCAAAACATCGCCGCACACTACACATTGTCGCCTAAAGGAAGAAGAAGAAGAAGAAGATGGAAAGGATCAAACTTTCTTTCCCAGCAGACACTCCACCACTCTCAGTCATCGCCGCTCTCTCCATCTCCTCCTCTCCCGTCACTATCGATTCCTCCTCCTCCGCCTCAACCACCGTCCCTACCTTCCTCTTCTCCGACGGGTACTTTCCTTTTTTATTTATTTATTTCCTTTTTCAGCTCTCAAACTAAAAACCCTTTATTGACTTTTAGCCGGAAACTGAGTGGAACTTCTGTTCTTCTCCGTTACATTGCTCGATCATCTCCCTCGCTTCCTAACTTCTACGGACACAATCCTTTTGAATCTTCTCAGGTATTCAATTTTATTACATCATAAAACGAATCTTCTCATGTAAAGTCTCTACCTTTGTTATGGATTTTTTTAATTAGATTGATGAGTGGATAGATTACGCTTCTGTCTTCTCATCTGGTTCGGAGTTTGAGAATGCTTGCACACGTGTCGATAACTACCTTCAAAGTGGGACCTTTCTTGTTGGGTGTTCTCTTTCCATTGCTGATGTTGCTGTTTGGTCAGCTCTTTCTGGTAAGTGTTTCATTACCTTAGCTTTGTATTTGTCTGAACAATGGTTTAGTAGTTACTACAGACGTGATGTTCAAGAAATCGCTAGGTATTAGTATTATTGATTAAGTCGATTTTCTTTAAAAAAAAATTCAAGAAATTGCTAGGCAGTAGTATTATTGATTAAGTCGATTTTTACAAAAAAAATGTTCAAGAAATTGCTAGGCAGTAGTATTATTGATTAAGTCGATTTTTTAAAGAAAATTGTTCAAGAAATTGCTAGGCAGTAGTATTATTGATTAAGTCGATTTTTAAAAAAAATGTTTAAGAAATTGCTAGGCAGTACTGTTATTGATTAAGTCGATTTTTAAAAAAAAATGTTAAAGAAATTGCTAGGCAGTAGTATTATTGATTAAGTCGATTTTTTTTTTTAAAAAAAAAGAAAATCTTCAAGAAATTGCTAGGCAGTAGTATTATTGATTAAGTCGATTTAAAAAAAAAATGTTCAAGGAATTGCTAGGCAGTACTATTATTGATTAAGCTGGCGCATAAATAGACTTTATAAAAAAAATTATCAAGAAATCCCTAATTAGTAGTATTATTTGATTAAACGAGCACCTAATCTATTTTAGTTTCTTTCTAAAATTGGTTCAAGAAATTGCTAGACAGTAGTATTATTTGATTAAGCAGGCGCATAAACCGATTTATAAAAATATTGTTGAAGAAAAATCGTTTAGGTTTGATTTGTTGCCTTGACTGATTTTTAGAACACTTTCAGTCTTTTTTTAACACATTGTTATTATTAGGATCCGGTCCAAGATGGGAGAGTTTGAGGAAATCTAAAAAGTATCAGAATTTAGTCAGATGGTTTAATTCTATATCGCTTGAGTATGCTGAGCCTCTCAAGAAAGTAGCAGCTTACACTGTGAAGAAAGGTTCAGGGAAGCCTGTTGCTGCTGCATCATCCAAGTCCAAAGACCAACAAGTTTCAGATGTGAATGATAAAGGAAAACCTGAAGTGGACTTGCCTGGTGCAGAAATGGGAAAAGTCAAACTCCGGTTTGCTCCTGAACCGAGCGGTTATCTCCACATTGGACACGCTAAGGCCGCGTTGCTGAACAAGTACTTTGCCGAGCGGTACCAAGGGGAAGTGATTGTGCGTTTTGATGATACTAACCCTGCAAAAGAGAGCAACGAGTTTGTTGACAATCTTGTGAAGGATATTGGAACCTTGGGGATCAAGTATGAGAGAGTGACGTATACTTCTGATTACTTCCCTGAGCTGATGAGCATGGCTGAGAAGCTTATGCGTGAGGGTAAGGCTTACGTTGATGACACACCGAGGGAGCAGATGCAGAAAGAGAGGATGGATGGGATTGATTCAAAGTGTAGGAACCATAGCGTTGAGGAGAATTTGAAGCTATGGAAGGAGATGATTGAAGGAAGTGAGAGAGGGTTACAGTGTTGTGTCCGTGGGAAGTTAGACATGCAAGATCCTAACAAAGCTATGCGAGATCCTGTTTATTACAGATGCAACCCTATGCCTCACCACCGTATAGGGAATAAGTATAAGATCTATCCGACATATGACTTTGCTTGCCCGTTTGTTGATTCCATTGAAGGTATAACGCATGCCCTTAGGTCTAGTGAGTATCATGACAGGAATGCTCAGTACTATAAGGTTCTTGAGGATATGGGATTAAGAAGAGTTGAGATTTATGAGTTTAGCAGGTTGAATCTTGTTTTCACTCTTCTAAGTAAGCGTAAGCTTCTATGGTTTGTTCAGCAAGGGTTGGTTGGTGGTTGGGATGATCCACGCTTCCCTACAGTTCAAGGCATTGTTCGTAGAGGTTTGAAAATTGAGGCTCTAATTCAGTTCATTCTCGAGCAGGTAAAGCTTTCTCTCTAGTTTGTTGCTTGTCATGTTCTGTAATATAATCTTGTTGATGTTTACTTTGTTGTTTCCAGGGTGCTTCTAAGAATCTAAACTTGATGGAATGGGACAAGCTCTGGTCTATTAATAAGAAGATAATTGATCCTGTGTGTCCTAGACACACGGCTGTAATTGAAGAGGGACGTGTGCTGTTGACATTAACTGATGGTCCTGATGAGCCGTTTGTCCGTTTAATACCAAAGCACAAGAAGTTTGAAGGTGCTGGAGAGAAGGCTACCACATTCACCAAGAGGATATGGATAGAAGGAGCTGATGCGAGTGTCATCTCTGTTGGTGAGGAAGTAACTTTGATGGATTGGGGAAACGCCATTGTGAAAGAGATTACAAAGGATGAGGAAGGTCGTGTCACTGCGTTATCTGGTGTTTTGAATCTCCAAGGATCTGTCAAGACTACAAAGTTGAAGCTCACATGGTTGCCTGAGACTAATGAGTTGGTCAAGCTCACGTTAACAGATTTTGACTACTTAATCACTAAAAAGAAGGTAATAATTGGTTGGTGATGCCTATTTCTACATAGTTTTCTCTATGGAACTCACTGAATCCTTATGTTTTGTTTGCTGCAAAAACAGCTGGAGGAAGATGATGAGGTTGCTACATTTGTGAATCCTTACACGAAGAAGGAAACATTAGCACTTGGTGATGCTAATATGAGGAGTTTGAAGTGTGGAGATGTGATTCAGCTTGAGAGGAAAGGCTATTACAGATGTGATGTTCCTTATGCCAAATCTTCAAAGCCTATTGTCTTATTCTCAATTCCAGATGGAAGGCAACACCAGCCATTGTCAGCTAAGTGAAGAATCAAGCACAGAGAGAAACAACAACAACAACAACAAAAACAACTCTTTCATTGATTAAAATGTTCCCAAACTTTATCTTATCTTCTTTGCTTAATGTTTACAATTAGAGCTCAAAAAAGGAAGACAAAGATTATGTTCTCTCTCTTCTTCTCATTTCTTTGGTTGGTATCTGGCCTTGATTGTCTTAACCTGTTTGGGTTTGATCTTAAACGTATCAACGAGGATGTTGTCAGGAAGAGCTCCAAAGAGAGATGCCACAAGTGACTGTGTTCCAGGCAACTGGCTATCAAAAGCTGCTAGCACAGAAGCTGGAGCTGATCCAGCAATGTTCTTCTGGAAATGAAGAAGCCCTTTGGGGAAAACGAACACTTCTCCTTTGTTAACGTACTTGTCAACGAGTTTCCCTGCGGTTGTCACAAAACCAACGTAGAGCTGACCTTCTAGGACAAAGATGACCTCAGAGGCACGTGGGTGAACGTGAGGTGGGTTAAGACCGTTTGGTGCGTAGTCAATGCGAGACATGGAGAGGCCAAGAGTGTTGAGTCCTGGTAGCTTCTCCACGGTGGCTCCGGTTACAATGGATCCAGTGGAGGAGTTTCCAGCTGCTTTGGCTGTGGCTAAGCCTTGGAAGTAGAAGTCTTCAGGTGTTACTTGTGTTGAGTCCTTGCATGTGTATCCGTTGACCTTGACAGCTTCATTTGTCAAGAGAATAAATGGTTTAAAAAATTAGGATAATTTAATAAAAAGACATGAAGAAAACTTATTTTTACCATTGGACAAATCAGCAACACAAAAGTCTTGAAGCATGTTGGATTCTGCTAGGGCCAGGGATGAGACCAACATGGTGACAATAACAACAAGATGGGTCGCTGTTGACGCCATTGTTGTTGTTATTGGTGATTTTCTGAAAAGAGTTTGTTCTTGAAGAATTTATAATTAAAGAATGAATCAATGAATGGTGAAGCTTTAATATTGGATGTTCTTATAAAACATTGAGAGGCTTTAGAGAGGTTTATTTTTAGGTTGAGTGTGAAAGGTGTGGTTAGGTCTTAATTTAGACAAGATTTGGTTAATTGTTAGTTAATATTTAGAGAGGTTGTGATTAACAGAGGGTTGTTTATTGGAGAACATATGTTTACACATCTAAAATAACTTATCTTCCTGGCAATTAACATGGAATCAGCAAAAATGGTTTGATGATGTGTGTTTTCAAGTATGAACCAACCAATATTTAGTAGACAAAAAGATGGTTTCCCTGTTTTAGTATCATAACTTTATATTAGTATAATCAACTAATTAAGCAAATTAAGGTAATGAGATTCCAAACGTGAATCCAGCCATGAAAACTTTTTTTCTTTTTCTTAAAACAGTCTTCTTCACACTCACTTCTCTACTGCTATGTCCTGTCTCTTTCTTCTTTAAAGCTGAAACATAGATTTGATTCTTTCAGTAGAACACATGCAAGTTCTTTTGCCTTTTGTCTGAAAATCCTTTTAAAGTCTCTTCCTCTTTTTTTTTGTTACTAAGCATTTTCCACTCAAGATTAAGAGAAATGATGAAGATTTTCTTGTTAGGTTTTGTAGTGTCAGGGCTGATTCTTGTTACTGAAACAAATGGGTACATAGAGTTCAATGTCACAGAGTTTGATCGCATTGAGGAGTTAGAGTATGGTTTCTCCAAGTCTAGCTCCAGTTTCAACCCACTAATGGTTGGTCTCACACTTATCAGAGGAGCAGGTGCCAAAGGAGCTGGTAACACTCTCTGCTTTACTTCTATTCATTATTACACAAACATGTTTTTAAATATAAGTATTATTACACAGTGTCATTTGACAGTAAGTTGCTATGTGGTTTTGGAATGTGAGGCACATTATGTATATGTAACAATATTATGTCATTAAGAAAAAGTTGTAGAAACAGAACAGTTTTATAATCTAAGATAAGTGGTTTTGTTTGTAACTTTGATTACAGTTTGTTTGGATGGAACATTGCCTGGATATCATTTACATCGTGGACATGGTTCCGGAGCCAATAGCTGGCTAATTCAGTTAGAGGTTAGCAAAGAAGAGTCTTCTTAGAGATCATACATTTTCATTTATTGAATGTGTGTTTGTTGATATTGAAAAATGTGGGAACAGGGAGGAGGATGGTGTGACAACATAAGGAACTGTGTATACAGAAAGAAGAGTCGTCGTGGTTCTTCTAACTATATGGAGAAACAGATACAGTTTACAGGCATACTTAGTAATAAAGCTCAAGATAATCCAGGTCTCTTTTTTTTTCATGCTCTCTATCAGTAATAGTCTAGCACTAATTTTTTAACTTTTTTTTGGTAATGTTCAAACAGATTTTTTCAACTGGAATAGAGTCAAGCTCCGTTACTGTGATGGTGGTTCCTTTAGTGGGGATAGTGAAGACAAGGTTTGTTTCAAAAACTTTAATGTTAGAGATCACACATTTCTGAGTTCACTCTTGATTTAATTAAAGCTTCTTAGTGTTTGAGGTTATGAGTTATTGTTATTTTTACATTTTCTTTAACACTTAGCTTTTTTTTTTCAGGCTGCAGGGCTTCAGTTTAGAGGAGAGAAGATATGGAGAGCAGCAATGGATGATCTGAAGACAAAGGGAATGCAAAATGCCAAACAAGTATATGTTAACTTTGTCCTTTCTTGGCTCTATAGTCTTGTCTTTAAATTGTTATTAACTTGCTTTATACTACTCTTCAGGCACTTTTATCTGGATGCTCTGCAGGTGGTTTAGCAGTAATTTTACGTTGTGATGAATTCAGTAACTTGTTGTCAAGAACTACAAAAGTCAAGTGCTTAAGTGATGCAGGCTTGTTCTTGGACACGTATGTTACTTCTTTCTTCTTCTCATAGTCATCTTTGTATCCTGTTATTGAACCTTTTGTGTTTCTATGATTAAAGGCCTGATGTGTCTGGTGGCCATACCATTAGGAATCTATATAACGGTGTAGTGCAGTTGCAGGTGTGATGTTTATATCTCATCTTTATACTTTACAATTTTTGCTAATAAGGTAATGAATCTTGCAGGGAGTTAGGAACAATCTGCCACAAATGTGCACAAACAATCTCAACCCAACTTCTGTAAGCTCTTATCACTTCTTTGTTGTATATAAGCTCCAAAAGCTGACAAGTTTTATCTTTTGGTGACAGTGTTTCTTCCCTCAAAACTTGATCAGCGGGATGAAAACCCCTCTATTTATTGTCAATGCAGCTTATGATATTTGGCAGGTAACATTTATTCAGTCTTTCCATATTTTAAGCTGATTTTAGATTATTGAAAGTAACTATTATTTGTGTGTGTTTAATAGGTTCAGAGTAGTATTGCTCCACCAAGTGCAGATCCTAGTGGTTATTGGCATGAATGTAGATTAAACCATGGAAAATGCACTCCAGCACAGATACTATTCTTGCAAGGTTGAATCATCATCTGAAAAGTTTTCAACTTATTTACAAAATGAAATGACACAACCTCTCACCACTCTTGGTTTTGTTAACAGGGTTTAGAGATCAGATGCTGAGAGCTGTGGAGGAGTTTTCGAATGCAAGAAAGAACGGTTTGTTTATAAACTCATGTTTTGCTCATTGCCAAACTGAAAAGCAAGACACTTGGTTCGCTGATGATTCTCCTGTTATCAACAAGAAGGTAAGGAACACTTCATGTGCATTTGCATTTAATTATGTTCATTACATTTTTGAAATAATGATTCTATAAACGTTTTTGAAACTGAGGTTAGGCGGTGGCGGTAGCGGTTGGAGATTGGTATTTTGAGAGAGCAGAAGTGAAGCTTATAGATTGTCCATACCCGTGTGATAGGAGCTGCCACAATCTTGTTTTCAGATGAATGAATGATCTTCTCTTACTTCTTTCTTTTAGTGATCCTTTTGTATTCTTTTACTTCAATGGTTCTGTTGGCAATACTGAATAATGTCGAAAATATATGTTTTGTAACCACATTAACATTGGCTTGAACTTGAAGGCAAGTCCAAAATGCTTTGAAAAAAAGAGGCTAGCCTTAAACTCAAGCCTCTAAACTAGTGTACTAGTGTCACCCATTCAGATACAAGTTCAGGAATGTGTTTGAGACTGATTGAAATAAATGAAACAATCCAAGTCCAGATAGTTTAATTTAAGTGTTTTACCTAAAAACTCGATGAGGTGTATAACTTTTTGTTTTGATTCAAGTTTGATTTATCTCAACCAGTCTTTATTTTGTTTGTCTCAACAATTCTCAAACACATTGCTGACTTATATCCGATCAGTATCCGAATGGATGATTTTTTTTTTTTTTGTCGACTGCCCATCTAAAAAACTAGATCAAGTGGTGAACGGACAAATCGATCCTCCGAGGAGCACTTTTGTCTGGCCTGGTCTGATATATATGGGAAAATGTAAATTCTTTTCTCTTTGCATCTTTGGCTAATGCATCAGCTCGACCATTCATACTCCGAGTAATATGAGACATACTCACATCCTCGAAGTCTTCCTGTAGTCTTTGGAGCATCTCGATCTCTGTCGCGAAACGTATGATACTCTAAATGCCAACTATAAAAGAGCATCCTTGAAGTCTTCCTGTAGTCTCCGAATGGATGATTAATATCTTGTGTTTTAGCGATTTTAACCGCTCTTTTATAGTTGGCATTTAGAGTATCATACGTTTATGCATAATAGGTCTTGAAGTGCTTAGTTAAGCCTTTGGAGCAGTTTGAGATGAATCAAAAGAGTGAGTATAGGCAATTTAAGAAGGATTTTGATAATAACTTGTGACAAATTTGGGAATCTATGTTTATAAATTATTGTAAAAAAATTAGAAGTAATATGACAATGTTTCACTTGCCTATACTCATGAGAGACCTAACAACATAAAAAACCGCATAGCAGTTTGTATAGCAGCCGAAGGCTGGCTGCTATGACAAATACGACCATAGTGGTCTGCACAGTTATACTCTAATTGCTATGACACTTGTACATATCAACAGTTGAGAAGCTTGAGTTTGGGGCTAGCCTCTTTGTTTAAGTGACTAAAGTAAAAACGATGAGAGGTATAACTCTTTGTTTTGATCATGAAAATGGACAGAACGCTATTCTCTAAACTTGTTAATATCGACTAGATGACATAACCAGGTCAGACTCAAGTCAGTGAGACGAGGGTACATCGAAAGCCCATACATATTAATTAAACAAAAATCAACTACATGTTCACTTTAGCAGAAAATGTTACACGCAAACAGTAATCTCACGTTTTAAAAATTAGGTTCCCATGACTGGTTGATGGTGGAACTTTATAATATTGCCTCGACACCGCCACATCGTTGTCTTTATCAATAAGCTAGGCTAGCTATTTTGTTACGTTATCGTTATCGCCATATTAAAACGACAACGATTGTTTTAGAAATATTTGATACAAAAGGTCTCCATACATATTTATATAATAAGAATTTTATTTTAAAGACGAGTTGAGAAAATAATAATCAGCAATGATCTATATTTATTTGATTTGAACTTTAAATAATCTGTATTAAAATGAAAGAGTTATTATTTAAATATAATTATTAAGCTTATGATTTTAAATATATATATATTCATTTTTACTAGAAAATATAATAATTAGTTTTTTTGTAGTTATAAAATGTTTTAGTCAAGTTTCTTGATTAACTATATATAGCTTTTAATTTAGAGAATTTATTATTTTAAATCATAGTGATATTTTAATTCACCCCAAAAGTCTTAAATTTTATTACTTTCAAAATCAGTTAAAATATTAGATTGTATGCACCCTTTGATATACATATAGTGATATGTTTTAATTGTATTATAGAAATGAAAGTTATGATTGAAGTAGGGCCTCAATTATTTTGGCTCACATGCAAATTATAAGGTGTAAGCATAAAAAATGCTTTCTAAGTCTTCAAAATACGAATGATCAACTCAGACAACTTTTCTTTTATAAAAATTCTAGAGAATTCTTTGTATTTATTTGCCCATTTAAGGGGGAAAAAACAATCAGCATTGGGGAAGTATTAAACTAACTATCATTCTGGCTTTGTATAACACCGGTTCGGCTCTTTTCATAAAGGAAAAATACTGTAACTATTGTAAATGATAATTTTCATGTAATATCACTGAAATTCTTATTAAAATGCTATTTATCAAAGAGAAAAAAATCAACAATAAATTAGTATGAAAAGATATCATTAAAATTTTGAATAGTGTTATAGAGTCGGACTGAAAATATAGGTATTGCTTATCAACTACAAATCAGGGAAAGGGAAGCCATATAGGCATCAATCAGTCTATCTCATAATAGCCGACAACATTTTCAAGTTTACTTTCATCTCTTCTTTTGATTTTGGCTTACAAAAAAAAACATATAATTGCTCACATGTGTCACATCTTTTTCATCAGGCTCGATATTCACAAATTTAATAATAAGTCCATGATCATGACCATCATATTCATATTAAGGCTAAAACATGTTAAAACTCCCATCACTGCTCATGTTTACTTTATAATCTTACAAGTTAAATTCGGTTGATTTTTCCTTAATTAATAATAAAATCTCAAATGTATGGTTTTTAGATATCTGCTTGCTCTTCTTACCCATTGCATGGCTTTTCCAGTTTTATGTACACTAAGTCAGCAACAAGGGTCCCTTCTTCTGCAAGCACCAACTCAAAGGCTGCCCTCGTGTGAATTATATATTGGGATATTGTCAGAATAGTACACACCTTCGAATTTCTTATTTCATCTTTCTTTTTATAGTAAACGATGACCATAAACCGAGATATAGACTAACTGATAATTGTAACTTATAATCGTTAACTTCTTTGAAACTGAGAGTTTAATGAGACTTGTAAAAAACCTCTAATCATTTGTAATATATCCATTTTTTTTTTTAGAATGGCGATCTCAGAAACAAAAGATAATCTTAGAGTCAATAACTAAAAATATTGTAAAAATTAGTATATTAACTAGTTAAAAATTCAAGAAAAGAACAAGCATGTAGATTAGTCTACTTTCATGCTCGGATACTCTGAACTCACAGATTGGTCTTCTTCACATGCTCTCACTTCGTTCTGAATATTTCAGCTTCCAGTTTTCACACGTCATTTTCGAAACTGTGAAAAATCGATTACGAAAAGTAAAAATTATGAGAACTGTTCACAAGTGAATCACACATTGATCTCTCTTTCTAAAGGAGACAACGATGGACTTTTATTCTAAGATGAATTGTCCCATTCACTTATTTTCACTTGTAATTCGGTTTCATTAATACCTTGACCAGCTAAAGCTAGAGAAGTTTTTGGGATAGAGAATCAGAGATAGACCAGTTCCAAACTTCAATTCCTGAAGACAGACAAAACTAATAATCTTTTTTCATAGACGACTAGAAACGAACTAGAAGTAGTAAAGTCCAAATTTCTTAATTAAAAATTAAGTTTTTATTGACGTCTCTTTTGAGGTATATAATATTACAGTATAAACTCCTTTGAGATTGGATTAGTTTATGTTAGTGTTAAATAATAATAAGATTATTTGAACATACAATTAAATAAGTTTTCAAACTTCAACTTCTCTCAAAATAGTTCTCTAAGACATTTAAATTCCTAGTGGTAACACAATACATACTCTAATTAATTTTCCTTATATACTAAACTTATTGTAAATCACTTTCTGAGTATTATCATATTAGTAACTATTCGTGATTTCGTATAATATTAACATGGCCAGTACACTTGTAATATGAAAACCAAAAGTTAATTGAAAGCAACAAAAAAAAATGAATACTATTACAAACAATTATGGGACTTTCACGCATGCATCATGTTGCTCCACTCCACGTTGGTAACAATTAACCTCTCCTTCAACAAAAACAACTAAAAAACACCATCCACATCGACCGGGACATGTTTATTTTATTTTATATAGGTTTTATTTTTGTGTGTTTTTATTAAAATTTTTAATTCGTAATAAATTTTCACAAGCAAATTAAACTCAGCAAAGTGGTGAATGAAAATAATCTGAAACTCTAATAATTAAGGTCAGAGTCATGACAGACAAGAAGAGGAAAAATGGATTACATCTTAGCACCAAAAATATACATACACGACAGAAAATTTACAAACCAAAAAACATATATACACTCACACACATGCAGAATATATTATATAAAATGTGGATAGAAAATGAAGAAATACTGATTAGGCTCTTTCTCTAGCACATGTTACTAAGTTTTTGAAGATTTGAACTGTACCACTCCACGTCAGCATCGTGTAGTAATCTCGCTGTGCTTTCGTTTAATGATGATGTTGATGATCCCAAGTAGTACTTGGCAATGTCTGGCTTTACTTCTGCTTCTAAACCAGTTTCTGAGCTTTGGTTATGTTCTGTGTAATGAAGAATCTCTGATGGCCATGACTTCATGTCTTGACCATGAGCATGATCATCCACTACTAGATTATTATTATTATTGATTTGGCTAGCTTCTGTGTAACGATTACCAAAGAAAGCACTGTAGATACTGTTGCTCTGAGATGGAACTGTGTTGTTGTAGTAGTTGAGTTCAGGAACATAACTGAAGTTTGAAGTCATTGGTGTCGTAGATGCTGACGTGGACACTGAAGAGATTAAAGACACGATCTGGTCTGAAACCGTTGGAGTAGTAGTACTTGAACTGAAACAAAACGCAGCGTTTTGATTAGGGTACCACCATGTACCTGGCTGCGATGAGACGACCATCGACTGATCAAGTAGGTTGTTTATCAAACCCGTTGACTTTATTACTTCAGATGACGTCAGCTTCTGATTTATGACGTTAAGTGTTTGAAGATCGGTTATTAGGGGTTTATGTGTTGTTGGGTCAATGCCTTTTCTTCTCAGCTTCTTCTTAAGACATGAGTTCCAAAAGTTCTTGATCTCGTTGTCTGTTCTTCCTGGTAACCGAGTTGCGATTTGAGACCATCTACACAATTTAAAACGGACTCAACAAAGAATGATACATTATTTCAGAATCTACATTTTAATATGCTTTTCTTTGTTGCTAAATTTGTATGTAACATGTTGCTAATTTATTAACCTGTTTCCTAACGCAGCATGGAGCTCAATGATCAAGCTTTCTTCATCTTGAGAGAATGCTCCTCTCTTTAAATCTGGTCTCAAATAGTTTATCCACCTAAGCCTACAACTCTTTCCACATCTCTGCAAACCTATATGATCATACCAATGCATATATACAAACATTATAAAAGATATTATATATTTTTTTTAAGAAAAAAAATTTCAAAGATAAGAGCACATGATGAAAACAAAACCTGCGAGTTTGGGGACAGAACTCCAACAGCCATGACCATGTCTAGTTATGTAATTGAGAAGTTTTTCATCTTCGTCAGGAGACCAAAGGCCTTTTCTAAGCTTTTGCTTGTAACAACAAGAATGTCTTCCCATTTCTATATGCAATATGGATACGTAGCAATTGATTTATAAGAGTAGTGGAGAAACAAGAAGCTATATATTGTTGCAAAGATATAGAGAGTTAAGTGATATGTGAAGGTTCTATAAGGTAGAAGATGGAGAAATAAAAATGAGGGTAAATGTGCTGGCGACTCTGGTGTAGCACTTTCGCTTTATAATAGTTGGGTGAATTAATTGACACCTTTTATGGGACCACAATAAAAAGGAAAAAATCAAGATATGAACTAAAAAACCTAGTAAAAACAAAAACTATTTGATTCCTTTACAAATTATAAGAAATCGTAGTTTATACTTTAGAGATAAAACTAGTAAATTATTATTATTTTTTCCTCGAAAGTTAGATAACAACATAAAGACATATACTCTCTATGTTTCTAAAAAATCCATATTCTAGTTTTTTCACACTTTTTAATAAAACACAATAAATTTGCATAGTTTTTTGTATTTATCTTCTTTCCATAATTTTAAACTAATTAAGTTTTTTGAAGTTTACAATTATTTAATAAAATATACATTGAAAATGTAAAATATGGATCTTTTAGAAACAAAATTTTTTTTCTAGAATATGTATCTTTAAGGAACGGATGGAGTATAATATATAGGCTGTGAAAATAATAATATATAATATTTGAATTTTACTTCCCCTCACTATAAGTGAGTATTAAAAATTATAAAATATATTTTATTTCTCCTTTGTTTTTCTATTTACTCTTTGAATACTATCTCCCCTTTTATATTATTTCTGTTAGCAAAAAATAAAGGTGTTCGGTCAACAACATACTCATTTTATGAAAGCATTGTACGTATCTAAAATTATTTCCCCCTGAAAACATAAGAAATTTCAATATCTTTTTTGTTTGACAAAGAAATATAATTTTTTGGGGGGGACTTTGTAGTTTTATTATATTTTGCCTACTTTTATTTCAGAAGAGACAGCTTGACGTCAGAGAATATGTAAAAGAATTGTTCAATTTAAGTACGCAAAGTGGTGGTGGAAAAATAGCCATAAATGTTTCCACTATGCAATAATTTGGTCGCGTAACCACTAATATTCTAATTTATATAGACATTTACTTATTCTAATTACCGACTTGTACCTTAGGCATGTGTATAAAACCAGAACAACAATAAGTGTTTAGAAACGTACATTGTGATAGCAAATGCGTTTTCATTATTACCGTATTATATGAAAGAAAACTGTTTTTCAAAATAATATCATGATAAGTCTAAACGATGATATTTTCTATATATAATGCTACTAGCTTAAGTCGAGTCTTAAGAAATTATATATCATCAGCATAATTGAAGGATATCATGACAACGAAAAAACCACCCAATCTCTTTTTTTCCAACCTGTATCGTTTGACATATTGTTGTAATTAACAAGACCAAAACTCATAGTTTACCGCAATCTAATCATAGCTGGACGAATGATATACTCATTTCAATTGAAATGTGACTTCATCATATGTAAATATTTGCATATTTTAAGTTATTATAGTGATTACAACAAATTTTATTTATATAAGTTATAAGATATACTTAAACAAAAATAGACGTAAAGGTTTTCAAAATAGCAGTATTGTGAAGTCAGTAACATGTATTAACGGCTTTAATTACAAGTTGGTGGTGAAGTGGTAGGTGAATTTTGGGATTGATAAGTAATTTGGATTCAAAGATATCCTATTATATTATATTTTGTGGCCAATCTAATATATATATATATATATATATATATATATATATATATATATATTATGGCTAATTTGAATATCTAGATTGAGAGTTCATTCATAGACCACATCATCTTTGTAGGAATTATTCTGGTGCTTTCTATGGATAAGAGAAACCTCCAATGTTAAACAAAAAGAAAAAGTTGGCCGATGCCAACCTCATTTGTGGACAGGATCGGTTCAGGGTCAAGCCGGATGAAACATTCGCTTTGGGCTCCTAATTTTTTTTTTTTAACTATTACATGTATATAGGCCCCCGAAAAAAATTTAGACCCCCAAATTCGATAAAAAAAAATAATTTAGTTGAAATCGTAAAAATATGTCTTAGGCCTCCAAAATTTTAGGGCCTGCCCTGCTTGTGGGTTTCCAAGGTTATTATTTCGTCTACGTTGTTTACTGAAGCAAGTAGAAAGTGGATTTAATTGGTTGAAGAAAGTTTCTATGGGTACATATTTTAAGTTAATGTTCATAGAATTTATAGGTGTACATATTAAGTTAATGAGCATAGAAAGTCACCGTGATGTTTCATGTTTGTATAGCCGCTTTCCAAATGATTGAGCATTTAAAATTTTCAAGTTAGAGAGAGGTTGACGTTGACTTTTGTTTTATTTTCGAGAAGCCATGTTCATGAGAGAAGGACTTGCCGACTTGCCTCTTTCAAGGTCCTAGAGGAATATTGACATGAAAAAGGATATATGCAGGGCTGGGCATTTTATTCGTTAAATTTGATTCGATTCGTTATTCGTCTCGATTCGATCCGAAAATTCCGGATATCCGTAAACTTTCGAATCGAAGCAAATACTAAAAATCAATATTCGTAAAAATCGAAGCAAATCACAAATATTAAAATTTTGGGAAGCGGATATCCGATCCGATCCGGAAATATATAAATATATGTATATTTTGATTATATTTAAAATTTTAAATGTATAAAACTATTATTATAGCTTATGATTTGACTAATTACATTCACATTATTACTTATATAAAATTATTAGATAAAAAGAAGAGAAAAANGTAAAAATCGAAGCAAATCACAAATATTAAAATTTTGGGAAGCGGATATCCGATCCGATCCGGAAATATATAAATATATGTATATTTTGATTATATTTAAAATTTTAAATGTATAAAACTATTATTATAGCTTATGATTTGACTAATTACATTCACATTATTACTTATATAAAATTATTAGATAAAAAGAAGAGAAAAAATATGAAAATTATAAAAAAATCTTAAGTTTTGTGTTATTATAGTTGTTAACTTAAACATAAAAAAATTATAAAATATGTAAATTCCCTACTTCTTTATTTTTTATTTTATATATCATGTAAAAAAAATTACAAATAAATTTATATAAGATTATTTGTAACGGATGAGATATTCGTAAGTATTCGTAAATATCCGCAAATATCTGTTTATTTTCCGGATATCCGTTTTTCCGGATATCCGTATTTTTCCGAAGCAAAGCAAATACCAAAATCAGATATCCGTAACATACGAAGCAAATCACAAATACCTTCGAAAACCCGGATATTCGATTCGTGCCCACCCCTAGATATATGTACGAAGAGGTGTAAGATCAATAGCTATAAAAATAAGAAGAAAAACAATATAAGGATTTGGCTCACTTCCAAAGCACCATGTACGAAGAGGTGGAAGATCAGTAGCCGTATGGTCAATTGTTTCGCTATAGTAGTCAAATAGCACCATTGCGAGAAATGAGCTATACTTAACTAAAAAATATGTTTTAAGGAATTATGTTCAAAATATATAAATAAATATGTTGGAGGAAAATGTAGTAATATAAGGTTCATGACAATAATGATAGAAACTCATGATAACAATATAAACAAAAAAATGAATAACAATAGAAGGATTTGGCTCACTTCCAAGATTAGTCGGGTACTTGACAAAACTTGTATTTCCAATAATGATCAGAAAGAGATGCACAAAACAGTATTTTCATTCGTGAACTCTTTAAGAGCGTGTACATCTATTTATCAATATGTTGTTTAGTTGTATTCATATTGAATTTTTTTCATATATACTTTTAACGTTTAAAACCAATATGTCAATGACTCCATAGTTATTTGTATCCAGAAACTCACTTAATAGTTAAAACAAAAACCAATGATGAAAAAACTGTGGAAATGAATCAAAGAGGCTAAAAATAAAGGGAGAGAGCATCATTTTGAAGTAGTATGATGATTGCAAAAGTGGGACAAAAACAGAAAACTCATGATTTGGTTACAAGAATATATATATATTTCCTTGTTCTAAGTACAAAAAAGCCTTTGCTTAGAGAGGCAAATAGTGAAGAAAGAGATTGTTGAAACATCACTTTCTATCCTGTCCAATTCCAGAATGTGTCTGACTCTGGCACAACGTTTTTGTTTCCTCGTATATTTTCATGAATACTAATATTGTTTCATCTTCTGAGTATAAGTATTAAGCTTCAAAAATAAAATAAAAACTGCAGCATTCGATGCTATGTTGTCTCAGATTTTGAAGGGAGAAAATACTTGCCTAAATCATCATTTACAAATGTATCAATATTTATTTTAAAAACCCTAACCTAACTTTTAGGTAAACTGTATACTTGGTTTAACATAGTGCACATGCAAAACGTAGATATAAATCCACGACGGTTTGGAATGAAAACATACAAGAGACTATCATAGTTGAATTTGATGATAGTTGATAAGTTTTTAATGGAATGCTGACATACAAACCGACAATTAGATGAAGATCCATACACCACTGGTGAGTATGAATTGTTAAATTGGCTACTGCAACTAACTCCTAGATCAATATGTTTTTTTTGTTTAACCTAATCCATCTCGGATCTATAGAAGTATCTAATTGACAAGAGGAGGTGCAGTCCACATATAGATTTTGTCTCTAGATACATAAATGAGACCCAAAATATGCCTCAATATTTCTGTGGCCACACGAGTTTAGTGTCTCGTAGAGTTTCTTCATTCCGGATCTTCCCAAGTCCACCTACCATCTGACCCTGTGTGGTTTTTGTGTTTCTATATGTTTCAATGGTTAAATAATATAACATGGAAACACAAACTGAAATGCAAACAAACGGTTATGACTAATTCACAAGCTCTCCATATAGCTACGAATGTACCGTAGCTATTTTGATTTTTTTTACTAGTGAATTATAATGTTCACATGTAACTTGTAAGGCATCGCAAATGGGTCTATGCCAGCATTATTCTTTGGTTTGAATAAGAACGTGATGTCTTAAACTTCCAAATATTTATAGTTTCAATTGTATCGCAAGTCACAACGACTATTCATTGGTTATATAGTTGACGTTGTGCTACGGCATCAA